CTCCAACACCGTAACTCAAAAGCATCAATTCTTCTACAGTCTTCCTTATTCACTGTCCAGCTTTCGCATGCATATGAGGTTATTGAAAATACCATGGCTTCAAAACAACCTTGAGATACCATGTCATCCTAGCATTAATAACACAGGTCAAAAAAAAACCCCAGAAAACAACAAATGCTGGTGAAGCTATGGAGAGACTGAGACCCTCCTACACCACTGGTGGGACTGTAAATGGTGCAGTTACTGTTGGAAATGAGATGGTGCTGCTTCAAAATGTTGGAAACAGAAATACCATATGAGCCAATAGTCCTTCTACTTGGTGTATATCCTCAAGAAATAAGAACATGACACGAACAGATTAAAGCACAGCACGTTCATCACAGTACTATTCACATCAACAAAAAGGTGGAATCAGTGTAAGTGCCCATCGCTGAAAGAATGGATAAACCAACTTTGATACAGCCACACAATGAAATACTGAGCAACATTGAAAAATAACGGTGAATCTGCAAATTGCAATGACTTGCAATCATTGAAATTAAACAAATTATATGATTTGTTGAATGTAAAATTGATGCTGTGCCCTATAAACCTTTACTCAATTCACAATAAACAGTAAAAATAGAGTAATAATAATCATTTCTAGGGTAGTTGTTGTTGTTATTGTAAAGTACCCTCGAGTCAGTTCCAACCCATAGTAACCCTGTATAGGGTTTCCGAAGAGCAGCTGGTGAGGTCGAACCTCTGACCTTGCGGTTCAAACCAACCTTGCAGTACAGCATATTAACCCACAGTGCCACACCAGGACTCCTTAAGTGTTGTTGAGTCAATTCCAACCCATAGTGACCCTGTATAGTGTTTCTGAGGAGTGGCTGGTGAGGTTGAACCGCCGACCTTGTGGTTCAAACCAACTTTGCAGTCCAGCGCATTTCTAGGGTAGTATCTGCCAATAGTCTTGAAGAATTGGACTTCTCAGGTAGAACTTTGGTACTCGTAAAGTAGTATTTCTCACCCTTGGCAGTATTAATATTTGGGAGCAGATCATTGTTGTAAGGGCTGTTCTGTGCATTGCGGGATGTTAGCAGCATCCCTGGCCCCTACCGATTAGATGCCAGTAGTACCCTTCCCCCTAATAATTTTGGTGTAACAACCAAAATTATCTTCAAACTTTGCTGAATGCTCTCTGGATATCAAAATGGACGGTTAGCACTGGGTTATTTGTGGAGATTTTGTTTTGTTTTGCTTCGTTTTCTTAGACTTGTAAAACAATTTTAATTTTTACTCA